CCCCTCCCCCATCTGCCTTCGTCCCTCCAGATATGAGGTCTGGGTCCTGTGCACATTGGCCAGACTAAAATGACCTCCTCCTGCGTGCTGGGCATTGCATTGGGAGTTCTGGCCTTCAGGGCCTGTAGATTAGCTGGCGCCAGCGGGCCCCTCCCTTCTCCCTGCTGTCCTCCTCCCTGCAGGCTTCCCACAGCGGCCAGCTACCTGCTGAGTAGTGCAGCCCGGGACCTGCAAGGGCTTCTCTCCCTAATGAACTTTCCTTGCTGAGAGGTAGGGAGGGGTGTGGATCACCCTGGTCACATCTGAGCACCACACCCTCCCCCCTGCCCCTCCAGTCCCTCAGCTTCCTGCTGCCTGCACAGAGGCTGACTGGTTCATGCTCAGTCCTGAGGGGGCAGCGAGGGAATACCGGGGAGCACCCGTGGAGCTGGGTGGGGGGCTTGCTGTTTGTGACCCCAAGAGCAGGTGTCTGTGCCTGGCTGAGGTCCTGAGGCAGCCACCAGACCAAATGTGGGTCAGGCTGTGCTTGTGGCCCGCACAGGCTGCCGCTGCTGTGTAGGGGGGGGGGGAGAACTCGGCAACCCCAACAGTCCTGCCCTGCCCGGCACAATGACCAGTGTCTCTGGCTTGAGTTTGGGGGTTAGCCAGGAATGGAACGTTTTAAAATGAGTCTAAAAGAAAAGAGAACACGGACTTGCTTAGGATGGCAGGCGGGGCAGGCTCACGGCAGGGGTCATGGGGCCGGCGCTCATCCAAGGGGCGGGGGGTTGGGAGGGCCTCCTCCAGGTGGGTAGGAGACGGCTACAGGAGCGGGGCTACAGGAGCGGGGCTACAGGAGCGGGGCTACAGGAGCGGGGCTACAGGAGCGGGGCTACAGGATCTGGACCGGACGTCTTCCAGTTGTGACCAAGGCGCTGTGTGGGTAGGCGCGGGGGGGAGGGGGGGGCTCGGGAGGGGACTCCGGGAGGGGTGGTCCAGTAAGGGCTGCGGCTAGAGGGGGTGGAGCTATTGGGGGTGGTGCAGCGGGGGCTGCAGCCCGGGGCTGGGGGTCCTGTAGGAACTCTGAAGGGACTGTCCAGCGGGGGCTGCATCCCGGGGTGAGGGTGGGGGGTAGAGGGCGGGGGATCCTGTAGGAACTCTGAAGGGGCTGTAGCAGGGACTGTCCAGCTCCACCGGGGGCTGCAGCCTGGGTGGGGGGAGTGGTGGGCGTGACCCAGCAGACTCCGGGAGGGGTCAGGAAGGGGTAATCCAGCGGGGAGGGGGCTCCGGGAGGTTAGCCCAGTGGGGGCTGCAGCCGGGGTCCGAAGGACGCACAGGGGTGACCCCGTGCTCCCCATTCGGCGCCCAGACCTGCTCCACCAGGGAAATGTGTGAACTGGGGAGGTGACGGGGTCGGGCCGGGTAGGAACTGAGACCCGAGACGAACCGCACGCGGGTGTTCACCTCCCGGAGGGCGAAAAAGACCCGGGTCCCTGCGTCCGGGGCGTGGCTTTCCCGTCAGCGCCCGCGGCGCGGGTAATTTTTGGCGCGGGTAATTTTTGGCGCTCTCGGACCAGCACCGCCTGTCATGGCTGGGAGCTAGTTCCCGGCGCTACTGCCTACCTCTCAGGTAATCGACCTGCAGGGCGGGGCATGTAGGAACGCGGCCGGAGACTGGCCGGGGCGCGGGTTCCGGGTCTCAAGGGGGCAGGCAGGGGGCGCGAGTTCTGCGTCTTAGGGATGAATGCAGAGGGCTGCGCGGGCCTGGGGCGCAGGGAGAAAGCCGGTAGCACAGGCTCCGGTTCTCTGGGGTGAATGCACAGGAGTGCAGGCCGGGACGAGGGGATCCTGGTGAGGCGCGGCCCGGGCTGCGGGTGCCGGGCGGGCCTTGAAGTGAATGCGGCGGGAGGCGCGAGCCGGGGTCTCAGAGGGGAATGCAGGGGGCGCAGGCCGGGACCTGGGAGCAGGGAGCTGGGCGAACAGTGACACAGGCCGGTTCCCGCCAGCTGTGACTGTGGGCTCCACGCGCAGCACCCATCCCTGCCACACTGTCCACGTGTTAGCCTCCCCCCCCCCCCGCCCCCCGCTGCCACCGCAGCATTTCTGCCCCGTGGTCCCGGCGGGCACGCTCTGAACCTCTGCGATGCGGGAGGCTCACCTCCGATCAGCTCCCCGAACTGCTCCCCCCGGTCCAGCTTGCTGGTGCTGTGAGCGCCCTGATCTTCCCGGCGGACGCAGGGTGCCTCCCGGGCACGAGCAGAGAATCACGTGGACATGGCGCGCGCTCAGGCGCCCTGGCACGTAGTGGCTGGCTGTTGAGCCTCTGGGCGCGCTGGAGCTTGTCCCAGAACCTGCACAGTGTGCCTGCAGCTCTTTCCTGAGTGGGTTCTTCCAACCCTTGAACTAGAGAACTATTCCAAGGGTCCTGGCTACTTCCCCTGGGGAATCCAGCGGAGTGGCCCAGGTGCACACTGTGTGGTCATATAGCAGGAGGCCCAAGTTTAATAAGACTTAAGGCAGGTGAGCCCCACTCAGGGTACAGGTGAGACTCTGAGTCAGCTCAGAAACCCAGAATGCATCTAGGCAAAGCTATTTTCCAGGCTGCCCAAAGTGCAGGAGGAATAAAGTTCATACAGCTGAGATCTGAGCACCCTGCCAAGAGGTGACCAGGTGCCCCTTGCCCCTAAAGGAGACGGAGGGCCCCCTTCAGCCCAGACTGAATCTGCAGAGCCAGGAACCTTTGGCCCAGCAGAATTGCCTCCCTCTGTAGGTCTGGGAGCCCTGGACCCGTCGCCAGCGTTCCCAGCTGCTGTGTCACCCAGCTCTGTTGGACTGCATCCCACTGCCAGTTGTCCTCTTGGCTTGGCACTGCTAAACTGCTCTCTTTCAGAGGGTGCCTTGGTGGATTGAATAACCCCAAATGTTAGTTACCTGTGCTGGACAAAGGTGAGCAACGCCTCCAGGGTGTTTTAAACTTGTGAGTTGGGTGTCAGTGGGTTTAATTTTACTCATTGGGACACAGAACTCTGTCATGTAACCTGGGAGGGTGCAAAGATATTTTTTTCTTCCTTTTTTACCAGCAGGTGTTTTTAAAATGTAAGAAACCTCCCTGGGTAACCTGGGAGAGTAGTAGCTGGTTTAATTTTTTTTTTATTGATTCTTTTTAGAGAGGGAGGAAGTGGGGAGGAGAGATTGAGACATTGATTGGTTGCCTCTGGTACATGCCCCAACTTGGCATCAAACCTGTGACCTTCTGTTGCAGGGCATGACACTCCAACCAACTCAGCCATACTGGCCAGCGAGTAGTAGCTGGTTTAAAACACAAAATGAGAGAGGTGGTGTTTGCTTTTGTTTTGCTTTTGGGTCTCCAACCTTCCTAGGTGCTGGGAGGACAAAGCCAGGGGGAGCCACTGGTGCTCCACACTCCCCCCAGGGCAGGTGCAGAAGGAGTCCAAAGGGGGAACTGAAAGAGCCTTCTGGAGTCAGAGGTACAGGTCCTTGGGGAGGCCACCCCATGATCCTCTGGCTGCTCCTGAAGTTGCAATGGGCTGGGGTGGGGTCAGGACACGTGGGGTCCAGGCCTGGTTTGCTGCTCACTGGCCCTGAGCTTGGGCACCTCACTTGCCTTCTGTGCTGTGTCCCTTCCCCTCATCTTCCTGGAGCCCAAGGTTGGGCTGGGCCTGTGTGGAGTAGAGCAGTCTGGGCTTTTCAGGCCGAGGACTTTGAGTTTTATCCAGGGACGCCGACTCCCTGCCAGCTGGTGATTACACTCATGTGAGCTGATTAAACTGACAGAATAAGACTGAAGGCAGGTGAGCCCCACTCTGGGCAGCAGGGCCCAGCCTTGGTGACTTCGGGCCTGGCTTCTGAGTCTGCTCTTAAAAAAAAAAAATGTTTATTGATTTCAGAGATGGAGAGAGAGATAGAAACATCAATGAGGAGAGAGAATCATTGATCAGCTGCTTCCTGCTGGCCCCCCACTGGGGATTGAGCTTGCAACCTGGGCATGTGCCCTGACCGGGAATCAAACCATGACCTCTTGGCTCATAGGTTGACGCTCAACCGCTGAGCCACAGCAGCGGGGCCTGCTCTTTCCTTTGAACATCAGTCCCCACACAGGTGGCCTTCCCTCTTGGAGATGCCAAGTAACAGCTAAGCCGCCCACTGTGTCCGGGACCTGAAATCTGCTCTGTAAGGATGCTTTGGCCCTGTGCTGCTCCACATTTTTTCCATGGTGGCCCTGTGGTGCTCCACATTTCTTCCATATTAAAAATGGACTTCAAATAAGACCCTGGATTTTTGGCCACTGCTCCTGGGATGAGGCCAAGCTCCTCCGCATGACCCCGATCTGCCCAAGCTCACTTTGCAGTTTCCCGGCCATCCAGTGGTCACCTTTCCCACAAGGCTTTGCAAGTGTGTGTACAACAGTGTGGACACTGTGGGGAATGCATAGGAGAGAGGCACATTCCATAGGGCAGTGGTCGGCAAACCTCGGCTCTTGAGCCACATGGCCCTCCTTGGCCCCTTGAGTGTGGCTCTTCCACAAAATACCACGTGCGCACGTACAGTGCGATTGAAACTTCGTGGCCCATGCACAGAAGTTGGTTTTCGGCCTGGGCGATCTATTTTGAAGAAGTGGTTCGGAAGTGGGGTGTCGGTGGGTCAGGCGGCGGGAGATGCGGTGCAGGTGGGCTGCGGGATATGCAGCGCGGGGGAGGTGCGCACAAGTCATGCACGAGTTGAGTGAGCCAGTCAGTCAGCAGTCTCATCGTGCAGTGGTTAGTGCTAGTCGCGTCCGCAAATCGCGCGCGGGTGACCAAAGTACCTTCTCGAAGCATAAAGTTACCTGTATTTTTCCAACCAGCTGCAAATCCACAGGTATTTTTGTCATCAATTTAAGAATTGTAATTATTTTGTGTTGGTGGCTTTATTATTATAAAATAAAACTTATCTGCTTAGAGGGGTTTAAATGCCTAACCTTGCTAAATAACTTCTCTCGCTTACTGTTTCTTTCCTTTCTTAGCACTCATGACAACTGCAATTATTTGATGTGACTATTTATTTATTTAAAGTTGATCTTCCTCACTAGAATGTAAGTTCCAGAAGGATGTCATGTTATCTCCAGTTTTAGACACATAATAGGCATTCCATAAATATATTAGTGTATTGAACTCATGCTGTTAATACTAAGTACTCAATCCAAAATTATTAATTAAGTTAATAACAATGTACCTACCTATATAGTTTAAGTTTAAAAAATTAGGCTCTCAAAAGAAAGTTCAATCGTTGTACTGTTGGTATTTGGCTCTGTTGACTAATGAGTTTGCCGACCACTGCCCTAGGGGATATAAACTTAGTCCCAGGCTCTCCTTTAGTTCAAAGACATGTAATCACGAACTGCCCCAGGGAGTCCCCAGGGTGAACTTTTAGTTGTTCTTGCCTGGCCTGCTGTGCTGGCTCCTGTTATGTAACTCAGCAGGAAGGTGGGGGCTGTGGTAATTACGTGACCCCGCAGGTTGAGCCCTGCACTGGGCAGTGTCCCCAGACTGCAGAGGTGGAGCTGGAGGGCTGCCTGTGAGGTCAGGTGCTTGATGGGTCAGCCCTGAGGGTTGGGTGAGAGGGAAGGGGCAGAGTTTGTAGGACTCTGAGGAGGCAGTTTGGGTTGCTACCACGAGAGGCCCTTGTGAACCCCGTCCCTCCGGCCCTGGACCTGGGTGTCTGCAGACACTCCCCCCACTCTGACGTCCACCCGTATTGAGGGCTCCCTGGCCATCACCTGGGGTGGCTCCTTGCATGTCCATCCTTCTGGGAAGTGGGGCTGGTTCACCTGTGTTGTGACCCTGGAGGACCGGGTGTTTACCCTGAAGCCTGGGTACCGGCTGTCCAGGGGGTGTTCTGGTCCGTACCAGCCAGGAGGTCTGAAGCAGTGTCTCTTGGGCTTGCGCACTTGGTCACCCACGGGCATGCCTGTGAGGCATGTTAAGGTGCACAGTCCTGGCCAGCCCAGACCTTCAGGTGGCCACGTGGGACGGGGCTCAGAGCTCATCTCTGACAGGCACTTCCTGTAGTTTAAGAAGCACTGCCTGTGGTTTCGGAAGCTGTAGAAATGAAACCAAGTGTGTTGGTTCTGGTACCTGAGACCTGTGCCGTTGCCCCAGGATTTGGGGACATCAGGTAAGGGAAGTTCCCGTCGCTTCTGGAGATGACAGGAGGGCCAAGTACAGGGCTCCTGGGGACCCTGGGCTTAAATTCTTGGCTGTTTGCCCATGCCTGCTGCTCAGGTGGGTGAGTGTATGGTTGCTCTGGTATCCAGGGAACAGTGCACTAAGAGTGGGAAAGTGAACTGAGGGGTGTCCTGGAGCTGGAATGGGGTCCCCTGTGGTATGTGTACCCTGAGGTGGGCCGCTCTGCCTGTAGTACACCCTGTGGCCTGGGGCTGCCCCCTGTGTTGAAGGGGCCAAGGCCCTCTCAGCTGTTTTTGCAAGTTCCAGGGGGATTGGAAAAGCAGCCGGGCCTGTGTGGCCTGTGTGTTCTTTCCTGGGTGCTGGGGGAGGGGACCAAGTTTGCCCTCCCCTGCCTGGCTGCTTGTTTCATTTGGACCCTTGAAATGGTGGGTGCTATCCCAGGATCCTGTAACACCCAGGCCACTGTTGCCCCCACAGCCCCCTCCCTTTGAAGTTCTCTAATTCCAGAAGCTGCCCCCTGCCCATGCCCTGCCGTTCCTTTTGGCCCCACAAACCCACCAAGCCCAGCTTGAGGGGTTTCACTGCCCTCCCTCCACCTCATTTTCCCTGAGTTTCAGAAATAAGCACTGGGGTTTAGAAGGCAAAGGACTCTCACTCATCAGACCACAGTTCCCTTTGCTGAAGCTCTCCTCCTGCCCAGAGTAATCAGAGGTCTGGTGAGCGGTCTCTCTCTGCCCTCGGTGGCCCCTGGGGGTCTCTGCTGTTCCCTGGTCTTCCTGGGCCTCATCGAGGGAGGAATGTAGGAACAATTCCTGCTTGGATGGTCTCTGAGCAGCATGCTGGCCAAGCGCACAGGGCATAAGTGCCCAGAATCTGGTGGCTTTTCCAGAGCACCGGGTCCTATATCTTGGGAACCTTTTGCTTCTACTGCTTGGGGATTAGAGGAGATTTCTCCCCAAATGCAGACCTTCTGCAGTCACCCTCCCAGAGCAGGTTGTGTAGTAAGGGGCACAGAGCTGTCCCAACATCTCTCAGCCCCCCCCCCCCCACACACACACCCAGGGTGTCCCCGCCCCTCCTGAGCCATGGAAATGGTGCGCCCTTCCTCATTCCTATCGTGTCAGCTTGGCATGGGCACCCTTTGTCACCTGACACAGTTGTCATGGCAGCTCCCTTTTTGACTCTCACTGAAAAGCAAAGTTTGTATCAGTGCCTTAATGGAAAACGAATAGCATGTAACATATAGCAAAGGAGTCATAAAAAAAACAAAACAGCAGATAACTTTGTATTCTGATAACTAGACATGAGCATGTGTCTGTGCTATAAAGGGCGAGTAGTGGGCATCGGAACAGTGCCATCACCCTTGCACCAAACGGAGGCACCACCCAAAACGTCCTGGGCCAGGCCACCCTCCCTCAGCTCATGGTGGTCTGGAGCTTCTTCTGTCCCCTGTGGCCCCTTCCCTTCTGGTACACTCCTCGCTGGCTCCTGCTTCTCCCTTTGCCTCCCCAGCTGCTCTGGGCTCTTCCTCCAAACTGGCTTCTCCACCCTCTGGCTGGAGGATGCCATGCTGCCCAGTCTTGTGCATGGAGTCCCCCAGGGGCCAGTGGAACAGTGAGAACAGGCTGTCCCAGACACCCCTCCTGGGGAGGGACGTGTGCCCTCAGAGGTCTCCACAGGCTGGTGGTTACCACATGGGGCCAGGAAGCCCTGGAGACTCCCTGGAGGTGGTGATAGCCTGGTCTGGGTGGATGTGGCCTCTGGATTGTGGAGAGCCCCATCCAGGTTGAGAGCATGGGGCTGGGGCCTGTGGGCCCCTCTCCCCAACTCCGTGTGAATGTGGGATCCTGACTGAGTGAGAGAGGGAAGACGGCCCTTCAGCCAAGTTCTGGGGAGGAGGGGAGGTGTCTGCGGGCTGCTGAGTTGCCCTGACTCTCTGCTCTTCCCTCCAGGAGCAGCATCACCTTCAGTCCCTCCAGGACCGCGTGGAGCCTGGGCAGCATGGCATCCTCCAGCCAGAGGGTGGAGAAGCCAGTGTCCCCAGAACCCCAGGCGGAGCCCGGGCCGGAGCCTGGGCCGGGCCGCGAGCTTCAGTCCTGGCAGTGGCTGGTATTCTACCTCTGCTTCTACGGCTTCATGTCCCAGATGCGGCCCGGGGAGAGCTTCATCACCCCCTACCTCTTGGGCCCTGCTAAGAACTTCACGAAGAAGCAGGTATGTGGACATGGGGATAGCGGGCAGGGGTGCCCCCTGGATGGGGAAGCAGCTGGGGCTGTTGAGGTTAGGCAGCCATGTGGTGTCCTGGGTCCTGTCCCCAGTCCCTGAGGGGGCACTGAGGGGCCTGACTCTCACTTATTAACCAGGCCAGTTAAAGAGTGACAGTGGCTGCAGAGGGGTCTCTGAGGGAGGAGTGCAAGGCGGGGAGAGGGAGCCCACCTGCTTGGCACCTGCTTCCAGCAGAGACTCAGCAGCTATTTGCCTAAGGAGATTACTGAAGGAATTTCCTTCACTCGCAAGGAGGACAAAGGGTCTTGTTGAAAGCTGACTAAGTAAGCTTATCCCAGAGGTGAGTGGTGGGGTAGGAGGAGGAGGCAGGACAGGCTCTAGCCCCAGTGCTTTCCTTCTCCAGCTTTTGCTATTTCCTTCTCCATAAAAGAAAACCAAGAAACTCAGAGGCTGTTGGTTGATGAGGCGCACACTCAGGATGCGCATTCGAGCTCTGGTCACCACCCTGCTCTCCACCTGAGGACCCCGGCACTGCCCCAGAGCTGGGCTTGGTCAGAGCTGGTCCTGATCAGAACTGGTTCCGGGCTGCTCACCTCCATTCCCCCCGCCTCCTCTGCCCTTCCCATGTGGCCATCAGCCTCCCCACCCCTTGTCACCATAGCCGATCTCCCTGGGTCCCACTGTGCTCTTGATTTCTTCGGGAAGCCCCTGCCTTTCCCTGGCGTGGAGCTTGGCCCCTACCCCTTGCATACCCTCAAGTTGTTTAAGTCCAATGCAGTGTCTGTGCGGATGTGGCCCCTCCCCTCCAAGTCGCCATCTTGGAGATAAGGAAATGGCCACATACCGGCCCACACGAACTCAGAGTCTGTCACTGCGTCTGACCCCATGGCCGGTGCTGACTGCTGGAGCTGGTCACTTCCCAGGTGAGGCTGGATAGGGGGCTGGGGCCTATGGGGTTGTCTCCTGTGCCCCCCAGACCCTCCTGGACTCCCGAGTAACCATCCCTCACTCACTGGGCAGCCGAGGGTTCTCCTTCCTTAGAACACTAATCAGATCTTAAAGAGGGGCCATCGTCTGCTGTGATTACAGGAATCATCATGTATACGGAGCTCTAGTAAGATAACAGGAAAAATCTCTGTAGCAAAAAATGTATAAGTCCCATTCGCCTGCCCTCTCTGGTTGCACATTAACTGATTATATAGTAGGTTCCAGAAGTGAAGCCATTCCCCCAAGCTTGGGTGTCATCAGGGAGACCACAGGCTTGTGTCTGGGAAGTGCGCATGAGCCTGCCTGCCGGGCTTGGCTGGGGAGAGTTACCCACGTGGGTCAGAGACTGTCTTACAAAGGACACGCCCTAGGGCAGTGATGGCGAACCTATGACACGCGTGTCAGAGGTGACACGCGAACTCATTTTTTTGGTTGATTTTTCTTTGTTAAATGGCATTTAAATATATAAAATAAATATCAAAAGTATAAATCTTTGTTTTACTATGGTTGCAAATATCAAAAAATTTCTATATGTGACACGGCACCAGAGTTAAGTTAGGGTTTTTCAAAATGCTGACACGCCGAGCTCAAAAGGTTCGCCATCACTGCCCTCGGGGATTAAACCCGGTGTGTCTGCTCTCAGTGTGTCACCCCGAGGGACGACACTGCCATATCCTGGACACCGACACTTGCTCCCTCTGCCCAAGGCCACAGCTTCCAGTTTCCCTCTTGCCCCTGTTGACCTTCTGCCCATCTGATAGCTACTGGATTTGTGTTTCCTCGATTTCTGCCTTGGCGTGTTTCCTGGCTGTTCCCATGCCAGGGCTGTGAGTAAACCAGTGGAGCGAGAGGGTCCAACCAGCCTCGCCGTGGGCCCTGCATGCTGATCAAGGCTCTACTCTGGCCCTTGGTTTCCCTCTGTCAAGTGAGGCCTTGGAGCCTGCTGGCCTCTCGGGGCTGAGGGCCACCTGTGCTGATCTTAGCAGACAGTCACGCTCATGGTGTGGTTATGGTGGGGGCTACCGAAGGGCATTGGTGGCTACAGTAATGAGCTGCATGGGGTCACGAGCCTGCTGTCCCACAGGTCACCAATGAGATCACGCCGGTGCTGTCCTACTCCTACATGGCCGTGCTGGTGCCCATGTTCCTGCTGACGGACTACCTGCGCTATAAGCCGGTGCTGCTTCTGCAGGGCCTGAGCTATATCGCTGTGTGGCTGCTGCTGCTGTTTGGCGACTCCGTGCTGCACATGCAGTTCATGGAGTTCTTCTACAGCCTCACCATGGCCGCCCGCATAGCCTACTCCTCCTACATCTTCTCGCTCGTGCGCCCCGCCCAGTATCAGCGCATGGCCAGCTACTCCAGGTCCGCAGTGCTCCTGGGCGTCTTCACCAGCTCTGTGCTGGGCCAGCTGCTTGTCACTGTGGGCAAGTTCTCCTTCACCACGCTCAACTACATCTCACTGGCCTTCCTCACCTTCAGCCTGATCCTCGCCATGTTCCTGAAGCGCCCCAAGCGCAGCCTCTTTTTCAACCGCAGTGAGCCTGCCCATGGCGAGGCCTCGCCCTCGGAGCTGGACAAGATGCACCCTGGCCCTGGCCAGCCCGCGGGCAGGAAGCTCTGCGGGACTCCGCTGGCGGGCTGGAGGGACTGGATCCTCGTGCGCATGCTCCGGGAGTTAGGAGCCAGCCTGCGGCTGCCACAGCTGCGCCTCTGGTCCCTCTGGTGGGTCTTTAACTCGGCTGGCTACTACATGATCGTCTTCTATGTGCACATCCTGTGGAACGACATCGACCCCACCAAAGACACCACCAAGGTCTACAACGGTGGCGTGGATGCCGCCTCCACTCTGCTCGGTACGCCCAGCCAGCTCCGCCCGCCCTGCCCACCCTAGGAGGATGGCAGACAGTGACTGTCCTGTCTCCCCAGGCGCCATCACCGCCTTCGCCGCGGGCTTTGTGAAGATCCAGTGGGCCCTGTGGGCGAAACTGATCATCGGAGGCGTGACAGCCGTGCAGGCCGGGCTGATCTTCCTCATGCACAAAACGGGCAGCATCTGGCTGTGCTACACGGCCTTCGTGCTCTTCCGTGGCTTCTACCAGTTCCTGGTGCCCATCGCCATGTGAGTTGGGCTGTGTGGGGTGGACGAGAGGCCGAGCAGTGTGAAGCAAACTTGGTGGTGGGAGGAGCGGTGAACCCTGGACACCTTTAGGCAGGGGCGCAATGTCCCCTTGTCCATAGCACACACATCCCAGCTGTCTGCCATGGCCCTGAGACTTGGCAAGGAGCCCTCCCATGCAGCACATTCTCTGCTCCTCCCATCAAGGCCCCTTGGTGTCCACAGGGACTGGTCCTCGTGAAGTTTTTCCTCCCAGCCTCCCTGCCCCGTTTCCCAGGCCCCAGGAGCTGCTGTGGTCCCATCTTGGGTAGCCCATGGCCTTCCCCGCCCTCTCTGTTCTCACTGTGGGGAACAGCAGCTCCTGGCCAAGGAGTGACCAGGTGTCCCAGCTTACCTTCTGTCCAGGACTCTCCTGGTGCCCTCATGTTCCTCACACCCCTGGGGACTCTCCTGCATCTGCCCAGGGACATCCTGAGACCTGCCCACCAGCTCCCCTGTACTTCCAGAACCTTCCCCTGCTCATGTTCTGCTTGCTCCTATGACCCTCTGTGTTCCTGTGAACTGACCTTTCACATACCACACATGCTCACACTACATGTGCTCATACCACATGTGCTCACACCACATGTGCTCATACCACACAGAGCACACACTACATGTGTTCACACCACATGTGCTCACACCACACGTGCTCACACCGCACGTGCTCACACCACACGTGCTTACACCACACATGCTCACACCACACAGGCACACACTACATGTGCTCACACCACATAGGTACACAGAAGCCTGCTTCCCTGCGCCTCCTGCACCTGGTGTGTCTGTCTGTCACCATAGTCCCCCTCCAACCCCCAAAGTGGGGCACCTTCTATCTTCCTCCTACTCACACCCATGTTAGAAGATCTTTCCCACCTCGTCTTCAGCTCAGACAGTATCCTCAGTCTCCTGACCCACTGCAGTTCCCACCTCCATGGAGTGGTGGCCTGACTCCCTGTGCCGTCTCACAGAAGCGCCCGGCACACACTGCCCTGTCCACTTTCGGCCTGCACCTGCCCTGGGCTCAGAGCCTGGGTCAAACCTAGTGTCCTTCCTGTCCTCCTGAGGGCCAAGTTGCCAGACACCCTGACGACACTCCTGGCAGAAGACACCTTTCCATTTAGCTGGCCAAAATGCAGGTGTAATTGGTCCTCGTGGTGGCAAGTGGCATGCCACATAGCTAATCCCCAACTGATGGGGATGCCGCCTTCAGTATTTTGCTGTGACAGGCAACAGTGAGATCACTATCCTCTCAACCTGCATTTTCCTTTCCAAATTCTGATGATGGTCTCAGGTGTTCCTAGAAAGGAACTGGTCGGGTGAAAGGTCATGAGCTTTGGTGGATAGGGGGTGTTGGTAGATACGGCAGACGCCTGCCGGCCAAGCGAGCTACCCTGTGGCCTGAGGGCCAGCTTGCCTTTTCTTAGTGCAGCAGGGCTGGCTCCTGCCTGGTGTTAGTGGACGCTTCACATTGGTGGGCTCTCTTTCTGCTGGGATTTCCTGTTTTCCCTCTTTATCTGTAGCACACTTACATCTACCGTATGTGGTAGGTGTGTTATGCTCTGCCTCTCATCTACTTACAGAGTAGGTGCGCCATGTGAAACACTCCTGCAGAGGGTGTGGCGTGTGGGTGGCATGGCATTCGCGGTGCTGGCGGGACCTGACCCAGCTCCGGTGTCCTAAGAGTTAATCTGTCCTCTCAGACCTTTGATTGACAAGGCCTTTTCTCAGTTTGTGTGCAGTCTTTGTCATGTGATTGCTCATTCTTCAAAATATATTTTATTGATTTTTTTACAGAGCGGAAGGGAGAGGGATAGAGTTAGAAACATCAATGAGAGAGAAACATTGACCAGCTGCCTTTTGCACACCCCCTACTGGGGATGTGCCTACAACCAAGGTACATGCCCTTGGCCGGAATCGAACCTCGGACCCTTCAGTCCCCAGGCCGACACTCCATCCACTGAGCCAAACCGGTCAGGGCCATTCTTCAGAACTTTAGAATATTTCTTTTCTTTTTTTTTAATTGACATTAGAGAGTAAGGGAAAGGGAGAGAGAGAGAGAAACATCAGTGATGATAGAGAATCATTGATCAGCTGCCTCTTGCAAACCCCCCACTAGCAATTAAGCCCACAACCTAGATATGTGCCCTTGACTGGAATCGAATCATGACCTCCTGGTTATAGCTGGACACTCAACTACTGAGCCATGCCGGCTGGATGAGAACTTTAGACTATTTCTTGTTTAGTCATTATTTTTAAAGGCACTTGGGGAATTTTAATTGGAAGTACGTTCAAATGTTAATTTCATTGCAGAGGATTGGGAGCCCTGAGAATATTAATTCCTTCTTCTCTCCTATTTGTTTAACTGTTCTTACTCTAACTTATTGAATCATTGAATGACTTTAAAATCATTAAAGACTCTACTATCATTAAGGACTTTAATTCTAGAACTTTTCTCATGATGCTCTGCCCGTTCTCCTGGGGATGATTTTCTGAGAATGCCGCAATGAATGGGTTACTCCATGCCAGGGTTACTAGGAGACTTTTTAAATGTCTTCCCCGAGTTTGCATTTGGCAGTTTTGCATTCACTTTGTGAGTCATTGAGGGAGGATGAAGTGGGTGGGCTGGGTGCTGGGCTGGGCTTGCTGGTCTCCAGTGGCCTTAGCAGGCATGGCCAGTCATCAGACCACATAGCTGTTTCTGGCAGCCAGTGGCAGCCTAGACCTCACCTTTGTACTTGTGGGCACTTCTTGGGCCTCCCAGCCGAGGCTGATCTTGGTCTGCTTTCCCTTTAAGTTTTCAGATCGCGTCTTCTCTTTCTAAGGAGCTCTGTGCCCTGGTCTTCGGGATCAACACGTTCCTTGCCATTGTTCTCAAGACCATCATCACCCTCATCGTTTCCGACAAGCGGGGCCTGGGCCTCCACGTCCGATCCCAGGTCAGCCCCTGCGTTGGGTTTGCTTCCTTGGGGAGAGAGGACTCGGGGTGGGGGTGGGGTGGGGGGGGTGGGTGTCTGGGCCAGGGTCTCCTGGTGTTCACCCAACCAGCAGCATTGTCCCCTCCTTGGGCCCCAGACCACAGATCTACTGAGGGCAGGGGGCGTGCACAGGGCGGGCCGGGGTCTCCAGCTGGATACACGGGACTTACTGAGTCAGAGCAGGAGTGTGAAGTGAGAGGCCCCAAGCAAGGAGGGAAGAAGGATCAGAGGACTGGCGCCAGGGAGCCATGATCTGGCAACCGCTGTGCCGGCCTGTCCTGCTGCCTCCTGGGGCCCAGGGTGGAGCTGAAACGCCGCTGACTCCACTTGGAACATGAGGCCTCTTAGTTGAGTCTGGATGCAGGTCATTTCTGGAGGTCTTCCTGGCCCTGGGCATCCCCCATGATGGCTGAGGGGCTCCTCACAGGAAGGGCAGAGGTGCGCCAGGAGTGCGTGGTGGGAGGGGCTGTCTGGAGGGCGTGAGCCCTGTGCCCAGGGATGGGCGGGTTGAGGTCTCTGGTGCAGCATCACTACCAGATTACTGACCTCTTAGGGTCAAGAAACAGAAGCCTCCCTCCCCTCGGGTCCCTCAGGCTGCTCTTTCATGTCCACACCACCTGACTCCCACCTGACTCCTCCCTCTTCCCCAACCGTGAGACCACATCTGTACCCACAGTTCTGCTCATTGCGTTCTTTTCCTTCCTGTTGTGTCAAGTTCTGTCTCGGTCGTCCCCCTTCCAGTCCAGAGAGCCTCCTTTAGCCATTATTTTTACTCCTGAAGGCTTCGGGGCTGACAGTTTTTCCCAGCAGGTGAAAGCTGTGCCACTTCCTTGTGGCCCTCGTAGTTTATGATGAAAAATTCTGCCATTCTAATTGTTCTTCCCCTAAGGTGTCATTTTTTTAAGTGGCTGCATTCAAGATTCTTTTCTTTGTCTTTCACTTTCAGAAGGTTGAACATGGGGTGGGGTGTCCTTGCCACCGTGGACGGGTGGGGGTGAAAGTCCTGAGTCCGCAGGGGTGGAGTTGGGCGTCGGCACTCCCGGTGGGTGGGAGTGAAAGTCCAGACTTTCCATGTGAGCTCTGTGGGGTGAACATTGCAACACTCCCCCATGGGCAGGGGCCTCCTGACAGCCCGGGTGACGAGGGTGGTTCTAGCCGGAGCAGGGCTGTTCGTCTGTCACCTCCTGTCCTGCTGGGTGTCCGTCTCCTGGTCCTCTGGTAGAGAGAGCAGCTTGGTTGGGGCTTTTTTTCTACACATGTTGCCATTTCCGGGCTGCTGGCGTCTTTAGTTTCAAAATACCTGCAGCAAAAAAGGAAATAAAGCCCGAGACCCATCACACGTCACCATGCTGTGCCTCGGGCTCTGGGGTCCCAGCTGGGCTGCCCCCCACCCTCCCACCTGCAGTCACTCTCTGATGTGTGCTCTGTGTGGCTTCCAGGGCTTCAGTCATACTGGGGAAGAATACGGGAACCATGTGACTCCATCTTCCTGGGAGCAAAGTCCTCCACGGGTCCCTTCCTGCTTTACTTTCTGAATGAGCAGGTTTCCTAGAAGGGCTGAGGGTGCCTGTGTCGCGAGGGGCACAGGGAGGGACTTGAGCCTGGCCAGGGCCACAGTCGCCTCGAGACCATCCGGACCTCCAGTCCCCCGGGTGCGCATGAGAATCAGGAGGGACATTTTTGTGGGCTGGGTGTGCATCTCTTGGTGTCACTACTGGTCAGTTTTGCCCGTCACCAGGGCGGCCACTGGCTCACTGTGTGGGGCTGTCCGTCCTTGACCGGCTTTACCACACGCACGGATGTCTGCGAGCCCTCAGCGGTGTGGGAACTCTGCCCATGGAGCGAAGTGCGCACGTGTGGTCACACAAAATAAGCAAAGCCCTGGGGGTAGATCACAGAGGCCACCAGAGACAGCAAAGGTGCCGGGGTTCTGAGAGAAATTGGGCTGTGCCGTGTGGCGGCAGGAGCGTGGAGGGCAGGCCTTGTGCACTGTGGGGCCTGCTCCTGGGCTGGCCTCTCACCCCTAGTGCCCACCCCACCCCTGCAGTGTTCCCGTGGCCTCTGAGCAGGAGGGAAAGAGGGAGGAATACACATCCATGTGGGCTGCCTCCCGACTGTCCCTCCCTTGTCGCCCTCCCCTCCCCTCTGCAAAGCCCCCTCATTTCCCAGGCCGCCCCTTATTCCCCACCCACACTTGCACCTTTCTCTGTTCCAGTTCCTCGTCTACTTTGGGTACTTCGTGGTGCTGTCCATTGCCTACTTCTTGGGAGCTGTGCTGGGGACCCTGTGGCACTTCCCGAGGAGCCACCACCAGCCCCTGCCCCTGGCCCAGGAGCTAAGGAGCCCCTCGGGGGAGAAAGCTGCTCAGGTGCTGAGCCTGCAGGATGGGGTCCTCAGCAACCTGCAGCCCGAAGCCACAACCCTGGCCCCGGAGGACGGTGCATGGACCGCAGGACCAGTCCTGAGGGACCAGCGCGCAGCCAAGGCCTGACCTGCTCTCTCTGCCCAGCTCAGTGAGTGGCCAAATTCTGACACCAGAGGCAATGTGCTCTGCATCCTCCAACATCCTCACTGAGCCTGGCGCCCTGACATCTCAGAACTGTCCCAACCCTGACAGGGTGCCGGTCCCTGTGGCCTGGCGCCCTGGCATCTCAGAACGGTCCACCCCTGGCTGGGTGCCGGTCCTCGGAATCAGGAAGCTGGGTTTTTGCAATATTTGAATTCTACTGTTCACATTATGGTACCAATGACCAATGGGGCCCCTATGACACACACCTTGAGGGCCACCTGCCTCGGCCAGTGGTGCCTTGGCTTGTCCTGCGGTGTCCCCAGACCCTGCACCTCTCAGGCCTCACATCCTGAATACGTACGCTCTGTAGTCTGCTGGGGACACTGGCAGCTGCCGGGCACTGTGGGTTGTGTCCCCTGCCTACACATGGCCAGTGGTGGGGTTCCACATGCCCACCAGGCCTCCCCGCCTTCACTCCCCTTGGGAGGCAGATCCCACTGGTCCCTGGGGACTGGGGAGATGGCCCCATGTGCTAGCCCGAGTGACACCAGCCCCTGCAGGCTGTCGTGGGCCCTGTAGGGTGGTGGTGGGGGCCTGGGTTCCCAGGGCTCGTGGCTAAACTGACATTTCTAGTTGCCCTGGTACTCATGTTTTAAACAGTGCTGTGCTCCTATTTTTTTAACTGTCATGAATGTGAACCCTACTGGTCCTCTGTTTCTGTGGGAGAAGCTGGTACTGGGGCAGGCAGGCGTTTCCCCACGGGATGAAATGGGGGTGCTGCAGTCTTTGGGAGCTGGCTCCTTCTGGGCCCCGGGCCCTGTCGTCCTTCCCCTTCCTGATGTGGGTTAACACTGGCCCAACTCACTGGTGATGGAGGCCACCTGGGCTGCTCACACACCAGCCCGGAGGACATGCCTCCTGGGGCTCCAGGAACCAGTCATGTGGTAATGTAAGACTTGAAACATTGAATAAACCACATGACCCGAGTTTGAGGGGCTCCTGATTCCAAACTGGTGGTGTGTGTATGTGTGTTGGGGGGGGGGGGGGTGCTGGGGTCTAGTGGGAGGCCAAGAAAGGGGACCAGCAAAGGAAGGGACCCAACTTGGGCCCACCATGTCCTTGATGCTGCTCCTCCCATCACCCTCTGTCCTCATGCCAAGTGGGGCAGCTGAGCAGCAGCCCAACAGGTGGGGTCCGGTGGAAAGGCCGCAGCTTGGAGCCAGCTTGGCAAGGAGGGTCAGAAACACTCCTGGCCTAGGAGGGGCTGCTGGAGCTGGCTGAATGGGGCACCTCGGGGCACCATGAGAGTCATGGAGAGTGTACACAGGGGTTGGCCCAAGTCACGGCCGATGGTGTGGGTCAGACTGATGGATTGGTCCCTGGGCGTGTCCACAGAGGCCACTGCTGCCCCTCTGACCCCGCTGGGAAGGGGCAGCACTGAGCCCAGGGCCCAGCACCATTTCCCATTTGTGCTTAGAGATCAAGCAAGACTTCATGGATTGGTTGGGGGGTTGGGGGGATCTCTTCTGGTCACTAACCCCACAATCAGGGCTCTGTGCCTTTGCACTGGGATACCTACCCCCCACCCCCCCAGCAAGAACACCATCAGCAGCTGGCTCAGCTGCTCCCTCTGAGCCCCTCCATGTGCACTGCGCTGCTCAAACCCAGAACCACCTCCAGGCTCCCAGAACCGCCTTTCTCTGCTGCTCCCAAGCACCTTGGCCACCAGGGCAGGGATGGCATCTGTTCCCAGGGCACAGTGAGGCCTTCTCTGTGTAGTGTGCACAGCCCCTTGGGGTCAGACACCTCCCAGAGCCTGGCCAGCTGCAGCACCTGTGGGGAGAGCCCAGGACAGGCCACCTGCATGGGCCTGGGAAGCCTGCTGCCCCAGGGAGACCTGAGAAAGGTCGTCCACATACACCTGGGGATGTCCATGCATACCCATGCACAGCCGTGTGCATCTGCATATTGCACACCTGGGCTCCCTCATGGGCCACCACTTGGGGGTGTGGGGACTTAGGCCCCAGAGAACTGGTCTCAGGACAGTGCCGGCCACATGCAAACCAGTGTCCATGTACATAGATGTTTTTATTTGGAACCACACCTCACCGTCACCAGGACCAGCTCCTCTGGTTTATGGCTGCAGTGCATGGACAGCAGACCTCGAGGGGTTGGGCTCTGGCCTGCCATCCCTCCCAGCATGGCCACCAATGGGGACACCTACTAGCTCTCCCAGAGACACACATGCACCTCAGAATGTCTCCCGAAGTTCTCCAACAAGGACAATGATGTGGGTTTTGAGATGCACTGTTGTGGATGGTGGTGAACAGGGCAAAACACATGGCCTCATTCACTCATGCACATGGAGCTAGTTTGTGGACATGGTCCAGTCCTGTCCTGCCCCTCTGCAGCCCCTCCATCCAGTGCTCAGAGGAGGCAGTCTGGCCAGGGACTCGAGGAGTCCTAGCAGGTGCTCCCAGGCAGAGCTTGGCCTGCATGGGTGTTGGGAACTCTGAGCCTGGAAAATGGGGACTGGGCCCGGCCAGTGTGGCTCAGCTGTTGAGCATTGACCTATGAACCGGGAGGTCACGTTTTGAGTCCCAGTCAGGGCACATGTTCAGTTTGTGGGCTTGATGCCCAGTGTGGGCTGTGCAGGAGGCAGCTAATCAATGATTCTCATCATTAATGTTTCTATCACTCTCTCCCTCTCACTTCCACTCTGAAATCAATTAAAGTACACATACACACACACACACACACACACACTAGAGGCCCAGTGCACACATTTGTACAGTGGGGTCCCGCAGCCTGGCCTGCACCCTCTCGCAATCTGGGACCCCTCAGGGGATTTTGGACTGTGGTTTTGGCCTGGTCCCCACAGGTCAGGCCGAGGGACCCCATTGGTGCACGAATTCGTGCACTGGGCCTCTAGTATGCATATAAGATCTTTGGTTAATCTCTTCTCGCTCATCCCCCTCCCCCGAGATTCATCAGTGTGTTCCATGTTTCCATGCCTGCGCATTGAGCGTCTGCCCCCTGGTGGTCAGTGCGTGTCATAGCTACTGGTCGAATGGTCGGCTGGTTGCTTAGGCTTTTATATAGATACTAGAGGCCCAGTGCATGGGATTCATGCACTGGTTGGGGGACGTGGCCTGCGGGGATCAGCCTGCTGTGGGAGCGCTGCTCATCCTGGTGAAGGAGCAGCACCCCCACTGTGGGAGTGCACTGACCACCAGGGGGCAGCTCCTGTGTTGAGCATCTGCCCCCTGGTGGTCAGTGTGCATCATAGTGACTGGCCGTTCTGCCGTTCGGTTGCTGGGCTTTTATTATTTATGAGGATATATATTTTATTTTATTATTTTAAAAATATATTTTATTGATTTTTTACAGAGAGGAAGGGAGAGGGATAGTTAGAAACATCGATGAGAGAGAAACATCGATCAGCTGCCTCCTGCACACCCCCTACTGGGGATGTGCCTGCAACCAAGGTACATGCCCTTGACAGGAATCAAACCTGGGACCCTTGAGTGTGCAGGCCGATGCTCTATCCACTGAGCCAAACCAGTTAGGGCAGATATATATGTATTTTAAAAGGTTACTGGATGTGGGGTTGGGGCCAGGAACAGGATGCTACCATGTCTGGACCCCTAAAAACACACAGCACAGCTATGGCTGGGGCTAGCTCTGCACTGTTTTCGACCTCACAGGTCAACTGGGAAGCCAGCATGGGACAGAGACCCCACGGGACAGGACTGACTCCAGGGGATGTATAGGCCACTAGCACATACAGCATGGGGGGAGGAGGTAATGCTACCCCCTGCCCCCCATCCGGAGCCAGGGTCAGCAGTGGGGCACTGAGCTGGGCACTGAGCTTGGAAACTGCCCCAGTGGAAGGGGGTATTGCTGCAAGAGGCCGAGGAGAGGCGGTCCCCCTTAGACCCAAGGCCTGAGTCATCTGGACCGCTGACCGCCTGGGGAGGGAGGGCCCTCTTTACTGCTGGCACAGCCCCTGGGCCAGATAGAGAAGGGAAGAGGGAGGCTGTCGATGGTCTGCAAGTGGGTCTGAGTTTTGTACAGAGAAGGGGTTCCAGGCAGAAAACCGAGTCAGCCCCTGCCTGGGGCAACCCTCTGGGGGCCTGGGGTGCACATACCGCCCCAGGGGAGTGAGTGCCGGAGGCCACAGAGAACACAGCCAAGGCGGAGCATCGTCCCAACACGTTGAGATTCTGCTTCCTGGCAATTGTAGACAAGTGCAAATAAAGTCACAAAAATTCTTTGGGGGAAGAGAGAGGGAGAGAGAGAAACGGGGCTGGGTGCGCCCCCTGGTGTCTAATCTGAGGACAGCGCCCTGCATGACCAGGCCAGCTGGGGCTTGGAAGCGGGCAGGGCAGGAGAAAGAGTTGGCACCAAGCTTTCTGTTTTAAACTTTTTAAAAAATACACTCTTTGGCTTTCTTTTATTTCTGGAGGATTACATGAAATGTGAACCACACAGGAAAGTGTCCCAGCCAGGTCCCCTGTCTGGAGTGCTGGCTGCCGCTCCCTGCCCGGCACTGGGGGTCTCTCCACTCGCCCTGCCGCCTGGCCTCCTCTCTGGCCGCCGGTCCATACACCACGTGAGCTGGCAGAAGCCCTACTTGGAGGAGGTCATGAAGCTGTTCTCAATGCAGAGGACGATGAAGGCGTGGTGGCAGCTCGCGGCTTTCTGTTCCAACAGCCTGCCCGTCAGCATGGAGGAGGCCTGGCCCGTGGCTGTTGGGGCCTCAGTCCGCCACGTCTCACAGTAGCTCTCGGTCAGCCGGCGCCCGCTGGGGTCTGAGCCGTGCCACACACTCTTCTGTGGCCTGCAGGACACAGGGGCTGTCAGTCTCCCCTGGGCCCTGCTCCTCCTGGGACAGAGGCCACCCTCAGGCAGAAAAGGGCGGAGGCTGCAGGCGGAGGTGGTAGCAGGGACTCGGGCCACCCCTAGCCACCGGGGACGGTGCACCCCGTGCTGCCACTGCTTTTGGGGGCACAGCACGGGGAGCAGGCTCTGTGACCCTGATGACTGGTCCCTTGGGGCTGGGTGCTCCTCCGTGAGGGCGGGGCACATACTTGTCTGACACACGAGCCACCTGGGAAGAGCATGCCCGGGGGGGGGACAGGCGCCCTCACGCCAAGCCGGCGGAGGGATGAGGGGTGTGAGGGCAATCTGACAGCTTCCACCAGTGTCTGAAGTACACACATCCTCCAACTGGGAAATTCCATTTGGGGGAGTTTATAGGAGCAATCACTCTCTGTGATGCCTGCGTGACAGACAGTGAGAGCTGGGTAACCCTGGCAGGCCCCTGGGGCACCCACCATTGGCCAGTCTCCCGACAGCAATGAGGATGGGGGAGGCCTGCCCAGGGAGCAGGCTGGTGAGGGTGTTCGTACAACACACGAAGAATGCTTTGTGTCATTCATGCTCTTCTGGATCTTGTGAGTTTTTTTTTTTTGTTTTTTGTTTTTTCCCCCATTAGTCTGATTTATTCTTCAAATATGCCATGACAAATTGCTTTAACACCAGACTTATTAAATTCTTGTACATTTCAAGTTATGAGTTTTAAACAGTGAGCATGTGTTAGGTAGAGGGTCAGGTGAGACAGGGAGGTGCAGCGTCAGGGGCCTGCACTAGGGTCGGTAAGACCCAGAGCTCCTCCCCACCCTCCAGCTACTGCACTCACGCGGGGGCACCTACCAGGCGGGGTGCTGCAGCACGTCTCTGCCATCAAAGGAGAAGATGCGGGCCCCTGGCTTCAGCTGGCCCTGGGAGCCCGAGAACAAGGCCTCCCAGTTGGGAAACAGCTCCTCGTCCTGCGGAGGGAAGTGGGCGGTTTACCCATCTCTGGCCACCCCCTGACAGAGGACCATTGGCTGGGCACCTTAGCAGACCAGGCACCTCCTCTGGCCTGGACCCCGGGTCTGGGATGAGTCCACCGCCCATGGTCCTCACACATTAGGAGCATCCGGCAAGCACAGTGGTGGTGAAGAGCCATGAAATAAAGCCATGAGAAGGGCACTGTGGTGCAGGGGCCTTGCTGGGTTCTCAGGGGTGTGACCAGCCCAGTGCCCTGCCCCCTGACTCCCAGGTCCCTCACCCCAGCTCTGGGAGCCCCACACTCAGGGCAGTGCACCCACCCTGAGGTTGACGATGGGCACGGTGGCACGGTCGGCACGACGCACAATGCTGTAGAGGTCCTGTAGGCGCGACGACAGGAAGGCACGGAAGGTGCCTGCCAGCCCCGCCGCACGCGCCTGCTGAAAGCACTGGAGGTCGGCGCCACGGATGCCACGCAGGCCGCCAGGCTGTGGCCCGTTGAGTGCGACCAGGTGCAGCTGCAGGAGAGTGGCAGTCAGCTGCAGTCAGCCGCCGGTGACATCAGGTACAGTTCTGGGCGCCCCCTCCCCGCCTGCCCTCCCTCCGCCCCAGCCCTGCATAGACAGTAGGGTTGAGTCTCAGCACAGATAGGGCTTGGGAGAGCTGAGTGCACCCAGTGGGGCCCTGGAGAACCAGCCTGGGGCCCTTCAGCCCAGGGCAGCAGAGGTGTGGGCGCCCAGAAAGCAACGCCCAGCCTGGGAGCGGGCGGTGGTCAGCTTGAAGCGGCCACCTCCTCCATCTACCTCCTAGTAAGTCCCTGTCCTCAGGCCTCACCAACCATCTCTGTGAAAAAGGATCTGCGGGGCCCCGGTCCCCAGTGCCGTCATAGGCACCAGCCCAGCCTCTCTGGGACCCAAGCAGAGACTGGCCTCGGAGGCAGGTGTCAGAGGGCACGTGCCCCCAGGGTTACTCACCACCGGTTGGAAGTCATGGTGGGTGTGGGCGGGAGCACCAGTGGGGTGGGCTGGCCGGGAGTGCACGTAGGAGCCGTGATGCGGGACTCCAGGGTAGGGCTGGGGGTCCAGCAGGCGTGGGGGCCTGACCAGGATGTCATCTGCCCGCCAGGGTCGTGAGGTGGAGGGGGGCAGTTCCCACCGGGGGTGCGGGTTTCCCTCGTGCAGCTGCACCAGCGGGGGCTGCAAGGCGGCCACTTCGTTGTCCTGCAGATCAAGGAGTGGACAGTATGTGGGACGGGGGCTCCAACACCTGTCAGCACCACAGGGAGGCCCCCTGGTGCCCTTCAGGCTCTGCTCTCCTGCCTGAGCCTAGGTTCCTGGCTACCCGTCCCAGAGCACCCTGTTCCTCTTCACCCCAGCTTGTGCTCTTGGTGGGGGAGCCTGGCCATCTTGTTTATACCTAAATCAAGTGGATGTCCTCTGCTCACACACCCATGGCTCCTATGCACCCCAGCCACCTCCTTTCTGTGGCCGGGGGGCCCTCAGGCGACCACATCCCCTGACCTCGAGGCCGCCTCCTCGCTGTAGCTCAGATACCCCGTTATGACACGGTGGGCCCCTGCTCTCAGTTCCTCAAGCCTGTGCTCCATTCCCACCACAGAGACAAGGTGACCTCCACCTTCAAATCCCAACTCCTGCGCCCCCACCCACTTCCCCATTATTTATTCCCACAGCGCCGAAAGCCTTAGGACACACCCTGTAATTTATTACTGTTACCTATATGCCTATTATTAGGTACTTAGTACCTGTGGATAGTTTCTATTTATAGTTCATACAATTAACATATTTACATAAAAGATTTGTGTTTGTATAACTATGCTTCATATCATGCTTCATATATTGACAAACCTATTCTCTTTATTGCCTGTCTCCCCCATATAATGTCAGCTGCAGGGGGCAGTGGCTTTGCCCATTTCCTGCCCAGCTGTACCTCATGCCTAGAACAGTGCCCGCCATATGGGAGGGGCCCAGGACTATGTGCTGAATGAATGAATGAGAGAATGGACTCTCTGGTCCTCAGGCTGGGCCACATGAGAAGTCATGCTTTTTCAAAGGAGCCTACAGCTGTGAGATGTGAACTCAAGTACTCACTTCAGCTCATTCATCCCCCATCTCCATCTCCTTTGTTCCCCCTCTGTCCACCCTCTGTCCACCCTAGAAGGGTCTGCCCCTGTGCTCTGCACTCTGGATGGACAGCAAAGACTCAACGGAGCAGTGAATTCTGGCCCCAGGAGCCTGGGGAAGACGATGGGCCCCCCATCTCCTCAGCAAGGGAGGCCCCAGGATGCTAAAGCACTAAGTGTTGTTCCAGAAATGTGAGGCAGTGTGCAGACCACCACTGCATGCCCCACACGCCCTGGCCATCCACCGGGCTCAAAGATTTGCACCCCAAAACTGACAGCTGGGAAAGAACAGGGCTCCTTACCGTCCCACGCGGGAGTGGTGTCCGGGCCTCCAGCTGGAAGAAAACACGGGGGTTACTTCAATGACCTGATTCACCAGCACCCACAGTGGGCAACCCTCCTGAATCCACGTGCCCAGCCCGGGCCTCGTGCCCGTCCCTGGTGCCGGGCAGACCACACATTTTCAAAAGGATGAGGGCTACTTCTCTGTAAGCCTGTAACTCCTCAAGAAATTCTACTAATTTAAAAAAAGGAGCATGAGGAGCGCTGGCTGTCACTCGTCCCTGCGGGGTGTCGCCCTAATAGGATGGTCCTGAGGGTCCTGACCGTGGCGGAGGGGGGTTGCTGTGGGCGCGGGCAGTGGCCTGGATCCCTGTGCCCCTTCCCATAGGCCTGGGCCTTCCTCCTCCATGCAGCGCTCCCCACCTTCTCCCATGTCCGACCCCCACGAGTGAGGACAGGAGGTGCAGGAAAAGGCCATCCAGAGAACTCACCAGGACCTTCCGGATCCCATTTCGGACGCGGACATACAGCTCCTCCCTGTCAGCCACGAAGATGAGCCAGCCCTCGGGCACCTCGGGCACCTTGTCCAGCATGGTCTGGTACGTGGGCCAGATCCTCACCTGCTGGAGGCCCGGCCCAATGGGGCCCCACTGTGCTCAGAGGCGGCACTGGGCTCACCGGGCAGGGGGTGGGGCCAGGGACGGCAGATGGACAGGTGTGGAGTTCAGGGGACCGCATTTGGACATTTCCAGGTGATGGGGTGGGGACATGGACACCCTGGACAGAGGACAGTCCTTAAGACTTAACTGAGCACCTTCTTGTCAGGCTGGCCCCAGGGACACCCCGTGAAGGCGGGTGGGTGAGGCTGCTCTCGGGAAGGGGGAGAGGACACTTCGCATGGTCTCTCGGGTGCCTACGAGTCCATGAG